TCTGTCTAGAGCATGGAGCCCTGGGATATTTGTGTATCATGTATTGATTTGGAGGTACAACCCTTGGCTGTAAAACAAAGATAAAGAAGTTAGGCATTAACTATTTTTTTTTTCCAGGGGTCACTGAGCGTGTTTCACATAGCTGGAACCCACCTGGAACAAAAAAAAAAGGACATGAAAATGTCTGCCCGTGTGATGGACTCTGGAATATTGATTTTTCTCTCCGAACACAAAAAAAAAAAAAAAGGCCTTTTCAGTCAGTATTTTCCTCTGAGCTCAGATAGGGCTGCTGCATTCCTGTCTACTCCCTCCAAGGTTACTGCCTGCTCGGCGGAGGCGAGCACCTGTCAGATGTGCGCTTGTTTTGTTATACAACGTGTCTTTGTAGCATTTGCTGTCTCTATAGAACCACCCCCCCTTTTTTTTTCAGAAACGGGAAGAAATTGTAAAACAAAAAAAAATAAAAAATAAAAAAAATGATTGCTCAGGGGAATCAGGTAAGTTGAGCTCGGGGAGTTTCCTTGTTGTCTCTATCCGAGTTCACAAGGATTACAACCGGGTGAATTCTCTACTCGCATGCGGCTTAAACACTGATCCCAAAGCTGACCTCGTTTAGAAATCCTCACCTGGCTCCATTGCAGGAGAACAGTGTCATCAACACCACCTTGTTTGCCTAGTTGAGAGTTAAATGTGACGAGGTTTGCACTTGTTGATTAAGTATGTCTACCCCATTGTTCTACAAACTCGCAGAGGTGTGACATTAAGTGCATCTAAAGAGAGCAGAGTGACACTATTGCTTAAATATTTGAATAATTGACTAGTTCCTCTGATTGGACTGGATAGTACTGGTAGTTTTTATGGTTTTTTTAAAATAAATAAATCTAAAATCTGATTTATATTATTAGCATTATACTACTTCTTTAAAAGTCATGCTGTTTGTGTTAGATTATCGACTTATTCATGAATTATTTATGCATTTTAAAACATTTTGCATGCCTGGAAATGTCTGGCGTGTTTGTGATTGTAATCTACTTTATAAAGTGAATAGCTTGCAGCACTTCTAACCCCGTCAGGAATCTTTTCAATCTCCGCATCAAAAGCACTCTACAGTTTACTGCCCAGGCAAAGGTTGCACCTCCACAGTTTTATAGAATTATTAAGTAAGCAATTATGATAACCCACTGTTTTAAAGATAATAGGATGATAAGGTTCTGCCAAACTCACACTGTAGTTTGCCCTTACGCTGCTCTTCCTGAGGAGCAAATCAATATCTTTTGCATTTAGTCCACTTCGTCCTCTTGACACGCAGACTTGTTTATTTTACCTGTTGAGCATTAAAAGTTTCAGATAATCCACAGGAATTAATAATTACAATCTACATATGCGTCTCGTAGCCACACGTTGTAATGGCCCCTGCATGGCTAGTGGCATTTTATCAAAGCTCATAAACCTTGAATGACTATATATTGATAAAGACTGTTTAAAGTGTCATTGGAACGATAACATTTGCACTGTAAATGTGGCTCGCAGGCTCCAGCCTCCAATCGTGCTGGGATGATAAGGACAGCACTGACTGCGGCGACAGGCAATAGGTCAAAAGCCACAGAGTATCTGGTTTGGGGATGTTGAAAGCAAAGTTTTACGTTGTCAAAAACTCATGAAATGAAGATAATTTAAATCAAGTCAGAATCAAAGCTGCGGGGCCTCTTAAAGAGAAGGTAAATTAACTTTGATGATACCCGGCAAAGTGTTTACAATTGATGCAATTTGTCCTTAAACGCCGAACTGGAAATCGTTTGTGTTGCGTAACGAATACTGGATCTGCAAAACTTGAAATTATTCTCATAGCCTACCATTTCATTTATGTTTGTATGATACAAAATGTAAAACAAATATATTTTATTTACAGAAATTTAGTTTTTTATTAAATCACCAAAAAAGTAGATGACATACGAGATCAATTTTTTTTGCTACAAAGTTCCAAATGACTTCTTTCTTGTTTTACTTTCAGATGTGTTCCACCAACAGATGCAGGACTTTACCGAGTGCTGTTTGTGTTAACCTTCTCCCTCTGCATGCATAAATAACAACGGCCCACCACTGAGAGAGAGAGAGAGAGATGGACGAGTGGTTTGACACTTTGCCCTGATCAATATCAATAAAGCAATCAGCACGTCAGGGGCCTATATGTTGTTGAGGAGGGATCTGTAGGAGTTTATGGCTTTACTGTGGAGGTGGGGCTGCTGCCTTCAGGAACACCGATCCACCCTACAGACACACAAACACATGTGGGATTATATCACATTTAGGGACATTCAGTGACTTAAGCTAATTTGTTTGCGATAACTGGAACCACGTCTTACGTATGCTAAACTATATCCCAACTATAAAATGAACCAGCAGGTACAACGAAAACAGTTTACGTCCTCAGTTTAACCAATGTCCCCAATTAAAAGTCCAAAAAATTGGTCCCAAAATGTGACACAAACAAATCTTCAGGCCCTTCCCTTCTCAAAGAGCCCAGACAGCCAGATTGCACTTTGCTCAGGCCGACCATAAACTGAGACAATAAATTCAACCAGACTTCTGAACTGGATGACATGAGAGAGAACGAGAGGACCTTCAGACAGCCAGCGATCAATTCCTTCCAACATGGAAGCAAAAGCCCAAGTGGCCAAAACAGATGGAAAGAAGTATTTCTCCCCTTTTTATCTATCTGTGCGGTCCGACTGAACCCAGGGAGGAATTGATTTCTGCAGGTTTAAAGAAAGAAACACTGACATTGAGAATTTGTCGTCTGAAAGATAATGTGTAATAAGCCAATGTTTTTCAGATGGTAATGATTAAATGTAATAACTTTGCCCCATTTTTTCTGTCAGTTTAAAGCCAGACGTAGAAACAATCCTCCACTGAGACCTCATGAATCAATACAGTGAAATCAGAATCATCTACTGTTTATTCAGCAAACTTTTAGTTTTCACAGATTGATGCCGAACGATATTCGCTTCTTGTTTCTGGGCTTTATTTATTTAGCTCAGACAGTTAACTGTGTCTAGCAGGAACACCTGGCATCACAACATGTTAAGTTCAAGTTCTGAATCAAGATGCGATTAGTGAATGTAAGCTGCTGCTGTATTTGCTGCTGCCAGCCAAGGTGAGGATCAACAGCTCCGTTTTCAAAGGGAGCCTCCTGCTCTGAAACAACCAGACAATAACCTCTAGATGAGTAAGCTGTGACTTATTGTACATTTTGCTGAATCGTCCTCTGCACCACGAATATAAAATGCATGTATGACAGGAGAGAGAAGCTACAGGGTTTAGTCATTGGATGTACTGCCACCTTGTGATGTGCTCTGAAACCTGCATGTCAGACCTGCACGCTGACTTTCCTGCCCCGCGGCGTGCTGACTCCACCGGCAGATGGATATCACTGACCCTTCTCAGCGATCACAGCAGAGACTTGAAGCACGGTCACAGTCATTTTCTTGATCACGGCTGCCCGCTCTTCTCTCCGGGGGTCCACTTCGTCTCTATCTGCTGCTCAGTGAAGCCCGCAGTGCCGAGCCACCATCACTCACACTCCGCAGGGCAGCCCGGTGGATTAGCTGACCCCCCTGGTGTGGGAGCAACAACCCCTGCAGTCCAGTCAGCAAACACTGCAGCCTTCGAGCAGCTGAAACCGGCAGGCGTGGCGGTCAGGGATCCTCCCCAGGATCAGGCCGTGGCCAGGGGAGAGATAGCGGCGTCTCCAGCACCCTGACAGTCAGTCGGCAGGGCCGGGCAGAGTGATGGACATCTGCCTGGTCCTGACGTTCACCCCTGAATGTCTCTATTTAGTCTCTATGGTCAGGCTGTAGACTATTCTAATGATCTGTCATCCAAAAGTATACAGACGTGCAAAACTCTGGGCATTAATATGAAGCTCTTGCAGGACTTTTTGCTTTTCTCTGTTGTAAATGGGATTTCTTTGATTTGTTTCTTCAACAAAAACAAGACATTTGAAGATGTCACCTTGGGTTCAGGAAAATTGTGAGGTGCTTTTTCCCCCTATTTTGTGACATCAATAGGTCATAATAGTAACTACTAAAACTACAGGCAATATGCAGAGCATTAAGTAGTACCTTCACAAAACCAGAGCCATCTTGAAGAGTAAAACAAACATAATTAGCATAATTCAAGAAGGACTATCGTCCACATACTTATGGCCACACAGGGTTTTATTCTCATGCAGGAAACGACAGCAGCTGCCATTCACGCCGCTGTCTAACGCCGTAACAGGTAACCCCATATGAGGGCCTATCGCTTTGAAGGCAGGTACTTGAGTGTAAAATGACAAAGCGCCACAGAAATGACAACCAACCGTCTGGGCCTCGAGCCAAGTCCCGGAGATCTGAGAGGGTATAAAAAGGTGTCAGGGCCTCCCCTGCAGTCAGCGAGCATTGACGGAGTGAGAGGGTGACAGCGTGATGGATGTCTTTGTTATGAGCGGCTGCATACTGCTGCTGCGTGCGAGCTCAGCCCAGAGATGTCCAGGTTATGAATGGACTAGTCAATGAGCTGGAACATAAATGGCCTTTGGTCATAATTTCTTAGTGCTCGGAGGAGACGCCTTGTGACAGACATGTCATCCGCTCACTGGAGAAGACGCATCACTCTATTCGGGTCTCTCTCTCTCTCATCTCTCCTGAGTGTTTCACTCCTGCTCTTTTCTCTCTCTCTCTCTCTGATTAGCATAGCTGACCTATATCACACACTGGTGCTGAGTCATTATGAGGTGTTAGCATTTTCAATTAGCTCACACCTCCCCATCTCTGCCACCCTGTCTCCTCTGTGAGGCAGACGCTGCACAGCGGGAGAAAAGCAACAAAATGCTAATGTTCCGCTCGGAAGAGGGAGGCCGACTACATCCCAGCTCAACTGGAGAAACAAAAACACAAAAAAAAACAAAAAACCGACAAACAATGCGGTAGAAGTTGGATAAACAAGCAGCACCTCTAGTGTCCCGTGGTTCATGTAGAACTTTATTTCAGCTATATGGTTGTTTTTAAAAGCACTTATTAGCAATACAGACTGAACGGTTTCCATGATACATGTCGTACTGCATATGTCAAACATTCATGCCAAAGAAAATACTACCGATACATTTTTCCAACAGGACAGTTACAGGTATTGAAAATAAAAGTACAAAATAGGCTTTTTCATAACAACCATAACAAGACAACACTACCATAAAGCGTATTAGTGCTTCCAGCTTTAAGTGTTATCATGATCAATGAAAAGAATCAAAACTGTACTCAAAAAAGTTGCTTTCAGTCGAAAGAAGGAAAACAAAACAATGCTCTTATGCGGATGCAAATTCCCACATAGAGGAGGAGCAAGCTAGCCTCCTCGCTGAGTCTCCACATGGGCCACTGCCTTTTAAAACAGGTAAGGCAGTTCTGTCTTTATAAAATCATTAGCTTTCCTCCCAAATAAAACACTGATGAAAACATACTCGACACCTTTGACGACAAAATGTCTTTTTTTTTTTCTTCTTCTTCAGTTTCACAAATGAACACGTTCGGCTTACAGAGATCTATTTCAGAGAAATAAAAAGTGCTTCTACTGATGACGGCTAGAAAGCTACTGCCAACGAAAAACATCACAAACGGATCTCGACATTAATATCAAAGCAGGATGTTAAGTGAGATTTTGAGGCTACATATTAGGAAGGCAGTGTTACCTATAAATCCTATTTTTTTTGGGCAGCAATACAAAATAATTTATTCTACATTTTCATCTTAGTGTTCTAATGGATTGTACTCTCTAGCTCAAATAAATCCTTGATTTTGAGAGAAAAAAAAGGAAATGCACTTAAATAAAAAAAAGTAATACAAGATAAAGAGCACCTTATCCCCATACAAGTTATTTAAACAAGTCGATTTTTGGAAGCAAATGGCACAGCGTTGTCAATGGTAAATTAGCACTGCTCATTGAATTGTACTTTTTTTTTTTTTGTCAGACAATACCACCAAGTCTCAACAGTTTTAACAGTTTTAACATCAAGTTGTGACAAGATACTCTTGTGACAGAAGTGTTTGCATCATGTAGTGTGTACAACGAACAGGTACAACGGGGGCTGATCACCGGACAGAAGCTGGATGAGTGGGAGGGTTCTTCTGGAGTCGCTACACGGCGGCCGTGGAATTCGCAGCCAAAAAAAGAGTGTTGGTACAGCATGGATAACAAAAACACGGGTGCGGTGTGTGTGTGTGTGTGTGTGCGTACTCCCTGGCAGTTACTACAACTCCATCTGCGTTTTATCAATGAGCTGAAGTGGACCTCCAAAGTCGCTGCAGAAAAGAGCTTTTACCCTGACTCGGCGTTTCTAGTGCAAAACTGCCAAAACATCCGGTCTTCAGTCGGCACACGAGTGTCACAGCAGCCGAACTGAACACCGACATGAAGCTGAAAACACTCGCGGAACCTTTTTAAGTGGTGCAAAACAGTAATGTGTCACAAACTGGCCATTAATGTGTCACAAACTGGCCATTAAGTTGCGAAAAATTAAGTACTTAAAATCCACATCTGGAGCTTCCGATACCAATACACGTGCATAAAGATTTACAAATACAATAAAATTCGACTGCAGCCGGCATTGACTGCGACAGATGTGCGAGAACTTTACATCGTAAGGGACCGGGGGGCCCGACCTCTTCATCACCTCCTCTACAGTTCTGCTTTAGCGGGGAGCCGTTCTGGGGTGAAATCCAGAAATGAGCCCCGAAAAAGTTCATGTCCAGGACCACGAGGCTAAAAGGAGCCACCGTGGACTCGTTCGGAGAGAAAAGAACTTTCACATTAAAAACAGAGAATCACACAGAGAGGAGAGCGAGAAGATGATGGCGGGAGAAGAAAGGCAGAGAGAAAAATGGGAGAAAAAGGCGACGCGTGTGATGCACGTAGTTCGTAGAACACACGACAGAACAGCAAAACTGCTAAAAACGTCAATTCATATTTTTTTTTCCTTGTTTTGTAACAGAAATTCCATCTGAAAGCAAACCATTAAGAGAGCATTTGTCGTGTCGAATAAGACGTGAGAGAACGCCCTCGGCTGGCTGACTCGGGTGCTGTGGGGATGGTGAGCAGCGGCAGCACCAGCTGGTGTGAATGTGGCGTTCGGTGAGGGCCTTAAGAGAGGAGAAAGAGTCTGTGGTAGGGGGGGGGGGGGGGGGTCTAGTAAAGGAGGATGCGGCGCTCGATGGCCTTGCGGCAGATGGGGCACTCGCTCATTCGGTCCCCACACAGCTGGCAGGTGCCGTGGCCGCACATGAAGATCATGTTCTTCAGCCGGTCCAGACACACCGGACACATAGTCTGCAATCACAGTGCATGCGTTGTTGTGATAAAAGTCATTTCAACTTTCAAAAACCTTTTCATGCTGCACATATCCGTTTGAACACACAACATGAAACATCAACCTGCTTGGTTTTATTCTGCCTTGGTAGTTCACGAGCCACACCTGGTTTGTGTCTTTATGAAAAAGAAAACAGGGTGTGCCCAGCTTAGCCACATTACGGTAAAACATCATTTTTTAGCAGAAATGGTCGTGCCTCGAATGTCCTGCAAGGCATTGGTACTTTTTAACATGGCTGCTTCTAAAGCAGATGTTTCTCTTCACCTTCAGTTATTCAGAGGGGAGTTTCACCGAAAGCAATGCTCTCTTTTACAGAAACGCCCTGATCACGTTGACACATGGCGGCTGTCCAGTACAACCCCCGTCTGATCTGCTGGACACCGAGCGGCTCCACTGGAGCAGTTGGGGTTAAGGCCTTGCTCAAGGGCGCCTCAGTGGTGGTAATGAGGGAGGGGGCAAGCGCTGCTTATCACTTTGCCCACCCATACATGTCCTGTTGGTCCGGGTTGATCGAACCCATGACGTCACAAGCGTTGTTCTCTAACCTGGCGGTCACCACCGCCCGTCATCAATTTACCTCCGAGTGTGGTCTATTAATGATTTAATCATTTAAAGAACGAATCAGGAATAACGCTGTGGATTTGAAGGCTCAAGCTTATGATTGCAAGTTGAATATGAAAAAAAAGGAAATTGAAGACATTAACTTGGAATATTTGATGGACATTTTTGACTATTTTCTGCTTATTTTGGTCTAAAGAATAACTAGATAAATTTAGAAAACACACCAATACTGAAAATAATACTCAAAGTGAGAGTACCACGCCCTGCCTTCCTCCGCTCTACACTACAGACAGTCTGGACTCACCTGCTCCTTGATGTCCTGCAGCTGTTGCTGGAGCTTCTGTACATCAGCGTTGACGTTGGTGTTGTCCTTGTCTCTCTGCAAAGCGGGGATGTTTCCGCTGGCTGTTTGGACGCAACAGCACACGGACACGTTGAGGGGGAAAAAGGGAATTCAGTTACCAGCAGAGAGACTAAACAAATCAAAAGAGGGTTGCGCCAGCGGCCAAACCAAACTTCACCTCCTCGTAATGATAAACTATATTGCCAATAAAACTGAAACGCAGCCACACCGACGTTGCCCTTCTGAAACATGCCGGGAGCCAGATTCTATTTAAAACATGTGTTTCACAAACAAGCAAACATATGCACTCTGAATTTTAATATATTGGGCTCTAGCAGTCTGTGTTGGCTTTGCATTCATTTTTAAATGACTTGAATTCAGAAATGCACACTTTGTAATTATCTGAAAAATAAAACTAACACAGGACAGAGCATTATACAACACTACAGGCATTGAAGGAGCCACAGGATGAAGGAGTGTAATGATATACCAGTTTGAAACTACCTGAAATATATCTGAGCACTCAACAAATTAGCTGGACTGAGACCCTGCTGTGGACTCCCTTCCAGACTGGCAAACATCTGCCAGAGACAGTGAGCGCCAATGTGATTCTCGGCCTTTGCATCACAAACGTACTGTATCGGCATATACTGTTTAGGGTGTGTGTGTCACTGAAAAAGAAAGGGAGGGGGTTTAAGGGGAGGGGAGAGGGGCCAGGGCAGCACTGGAGGAGCTCTTTGAGAAAAGGGTCTGATAAGGGAGGGGATCATAGAGGTATACTTACACCAACTTATTGCCAGATTGTTGGGCTGGAGAAGATCCTGCGATCCCCCTGCCATAGTGTTAGAGCTCCCTGCTGGGAATAACCAGTCACATTGTTATAGTGGGAGCCGTCCTTGACCAGCTCAACAGCTGGCCTGGGGACTAAAACTACTCACTACAGCCTCTAAGGGAGGTTCAGAGACAGAATTTGAAGGAAAAAAGCCAGCAAGCTGGAAAGAAAGGGAAGTAGAGCCTCTTCTATGTAGAATATATAGTTAAAATGCACAGCGGCGAAGTGATTCTTTCGCTTTTCTTTTTGCCGTCAGCCAATGTGAAGCATGAGTCGAATGCTTTCACTCACAGTTAGAAGTACATATCAGAGAAATAGGGAGTGAAAATAATCAAAGCGACGGATGAATTTCGTGCATTGGATTTGCTTTTGTAACAGTCAGTGTTACTGGGATGAATAGGGAGAGAGGAGATAAACAATCAATGCTGCCCCTTGCATGAGTGTATGAAGTGTTTGGGTCTGCATTCACTTTTTTTTTGCACGTCTGGCAACGACTGCAAGAAATATTTGCCTGCCAACAAGCTGACACGTGGAGGAAATGCAAAATAATGAACACGGGGGTAAACATGAAGTTAGTGAACTTACAACAGTTTCCCTTTTAACTCAAACAAAACACGACAGGAGTAACCACTGGTGAGATGCACCGCTAAAAGAAGGTCATGGGCAATACAAAAACTGTGTTCAACTTGGAGACAAGAAGATGGATTGTGAATGCATCCAAAAATAAATCTATTTGCACACTACGTTGAATCACTATTCATGGACGATTAGGGGTAAAACTGATGACATTCAGCACTTGTGCGCAACTGAAAATCCTGCTTTTTAGGTGTTTTATTTGACGTTTTTCATCATTCTAATAGTTATTTTTCACATTCGTGTCGGTATTAATATGCATATACATCATTAATACTACAGGTAGTTTAGCATATACTTAGAAACAAGTTCGTCAAACTTTAAGAGGGCACAGAAACATGAAAAAAGGACATCAGGCTGTCTGTATATTAGGACATTATTGTATTACTCTGCAAAACTCAATTTAGAAATGGCTTCTGAGATTCTACTGATAAAAAGATATGATCTGACACACAAAATCCGGTCTCTTTGGAAGATCTAGTTGGGCGGATTTACAGACAAGGCAGCCAAGCACTTGTGAAGCCACTGTCCATTTCAGCCAGAATCTAAATAGAAGCTTGAACAGATGACATGATCACAATGATTGCAATGATTAAAACATGCCAGATCTAGTCGTGGAAAGTAAGATTAACGGATTCAAACGTCTGACTTAATTTGTACATTTCTACTAGGATGAAAACAACAACAACAACAACAACAACAACAACAATGTATCAATGGTGCAAACAAAATAAAATAAAATGCATAAGCAAGGCAGCAACAAAGCAACATATAAAACAGGCTAAAGCAGATATAAAAAAGAAGTGGAAACGAGAAAAGAAAGAAGGAAAATAAAGGGGAATTAAAAGGGAACGTGTGGAAGATTCACTCACTAAGGTCATCATCATCATCATCATCATCATCATCATCATCATCACCATCATCATCATCATCATCATCATCAGCGGCCTCATCCTCCATACCTTTCCCACCACAGCAAAGAACAAAGGGGGTACGGCGTTCCACTACAGCCCGACACTGTACGCACTTCTTCATGAGGCTGGCACAGTCTGGTGACAACAACACGCATATCGGTCAGAATACAAAGTCTTTTCTATACACAGCGTGTGTGTTTTTATTTTGTTATTCAGCAGCTGGTCAGAAAGATGCAGAGGTGCAACTTACTCTCACAAGCGCACATGTGGCCACAGGGCTGGAACAGTACGGCTGCTTTTTTGTCAGAGCAGACTACGCACTCTTCGATCTGCGGAGGGACAAATCAAACAACAAAAACAAACATCCGCTCTTCGTGGGGTTTCTATTTCTGGGTAGGACGGACAGTCGCACTGCTTCTGATACCTTAGTTCTCGACTGGACCTGATCCTTGCAGATGAGACACTTCTTGACGCGAGGCGAGCAGAGGGAGCAGGTGGCGATGTGTCCGCAGGGCCCAAACAGAGTGTCTCTCTTCAAGTCCGAACACACCATACACTCATCCAGGGTCTCGATGTTGCTGTTCAGAGACGGGCTGCGGGTGCCCACCTGACCGCTGCAACATTGAGAATAAAACCATAGCGTGAGAGAGCGGAAGTGAGGGTGTAAGAGAACAAAGGAAATAGGGGGAGACAAAGACAGAGATATTACAAAAAGGAACAGACGGAGGAGAACGCAAACAAATGAAAGAAACAAATGAAAGATTTTTAGCAAAAAAGGGAAATCAATAAGGTTGCTGATGATTTTCCTGAGATGGTTCCCTTTTCTAAGTCAGCGTAGGTGAATAAATATATTAAAAAACAACGAACACATTCCTTTAAATTCATGTTTTTCATCTCGTTTTAATTTCTTTTCTTCTTGTTTTAATCGCCAAGTCCGTTTGATTTAACAGTTACGTTTTTATTTGGCCACATAAAAGAGAAAAGCAGACTAAATCAATAAAATAGGTCACAACATCTAGGTCTGCTTGTCTGTTCTGATATGACCACACAGTCTGATGAAAGCTTCGCTAATCCATAAAAACAAAAAGTTAAACCGCCGTCAAACCACAAATGAAGGATTTCTCACCTCAGTTCTTGTACAAACAACTACTTGAGCTTTAGACGCGTTAGTGGGTGGATTAGTTGTTTTTACCTACAGCCCAGGCATTGCATTAGATTAATATACTTTTGTCCAAAGCAACTTACAAGAAGTGATTCATATTCATATTTAACGGACAGACATGAGAGTGGTATTGATCTTCCCATCCGACTCCTGGAAAGAAAGCAAATAGGTGTATTTCCTAAAATGTCAAACTATCCCTTCAAGGGATGTTTACCTGCTTTTCTCTTTGTGGCACTTGGCCAGAGCCTTGCAGAGGCTGGGGTCTGGACACAGGTCTAGAGGGGACTGGCCCTTCTTGTTACGAATGGTCAGGTCTGCTCCGTTAGCTGCCAGGAAGCAGGCGATGGATGCCGCACTCTTCTTCTCTGCCCCCTGGGTGCCCAAGCCCATGATTAACTGCAGGGAGCCAGACAGACACACAAAAACAGATACATCAGAAGTACATCAGGCACTTTGGACATAAAAGATTGTTTTCAAGTTGAACCCAGTGGGACCGGTGTCTCTTCTCCTCCTCACACATCTGCACGAGAGTAAAGAGCAAAGAGAGTAGGGAGACCTGATTTTGATATTATTCAGGTGGACCGTGCCAAAGTACCATCAGATCATAGCTAATTAGTCAATCAAAGACATGCCTTAAGATGGCTGTCAGGCATCAGGACCCCCCTCGTCCCGAGCCAAAATCCCATTAACTGTCCCGTCGAGCCCAACTCAAAGCCTCTCTCTCTCTCTAGCAATTTGGGCCTTCCATGTCCGATTGTCTTCAACCAGTAGCTTTTACATCTCTGCTGATGGAGCCACCAGGCCGGCTAATTCAATTCTCATCTCGAAGGGGGGGGAGCTATGGGAGAGTGACCCAATTGCACACATTTCAATTAGGCCTGCTGTCTGTCTCTTCCGCAGGGAACCAGGGAGGGCAGGAAGCAGGATACAAGAGAGCAGGCCGAGAGAAGGAAGAGAAGGAAGTGGGAGGGTGACAGGTAAGTCTGTAGCTGCAGCTAGGCCCCGTAGCCTTAAACTCGTCCCTGTAGGGATTAGTGATGTGGCGTTAACATGAAGGGGGTTCAGGTCTGACACGGCCTCTACGGAGGGACAAACTCATTCAGGCTGGTCCAGAGGCTGCAGCGAGCTGGTTGGCTGCTCCGCCGGGCTGCTGTCTGTCCTGTCAGTGTTATACGGGTTCTCTCTGCACACTCTGGTATCTTTTAACAGCCCAAAGACACACAGCTCATATGCACTCTAATGTGTCTTAACGAGTGTGATTAGTATTTGCTAACCAGAATTACGACCCTGCTCCAAACCTAAATTCAACACAGATCTGACACTGTTAGGCTTTAGTATGAAAAAAGAACCATGGGTGTCCTGTGTTTATTCATTAGTTCATGCAAGTTATTATAGTAATACTAGAACCAAATCAGCTATTGGTAATAACTCGTTGCCCTCTCAATCCCATAAATACTGCTCTTCAATTTCAGATGCATAACAAAATCTCCAGCAAGCTGCAAAAGCTGCATTATTCTGTCTCACACACACAGGGCTGACCCTAGGTGTGAACATGTTTGTATGTGCTTCAGCCCTGCTATACACTGGTGACTTGTCCAGGGTGTTTCCTAGTGTTTTTCACAATTTATGCTGGGTAATAACCAGACCCTCAACCAGAGGAAAAACAGGTAAAGAATATAAACGGAACAAGACTCTAAACTTTAAACGAAGCCTTTTAAAGAGTGGCAGTAAAGCCAATGGCAGGTAATCTTAAATTCTCATGACACGCTGCATTCTTGTGTGTGCCTTTTGTGGGCAAATACATTTGGGAATGTTTAAATGAATCGCACCCGCCTATTGGATAATGAGCTGCCACATTTCCTGATACAATTGGCCTCAAGCGTTTTCAGTTTGTTGTTTTCTTGTTGATAACTGCATCTCTTGACTGTTAGACAACGTTTCATTTCACTTTAATGCCACGATGCCTTATGATGCCTTAAGGAACCTTGACCCAAGCAAATTACTGTGATCTAGGAGGAACAGTGAGGTTAATAATTGATGTATACGCACTGTGTTCTTGGAGGGTTCCCAGGGCTCCACTTTGCTGACGTCCTGCATATCTTGGAGTTGTCGCAGTTGGGACAGTGTGTGGTGACGCAGTGCCTCGTGGAGCGGCGTGTCCCCGTCCTTGTCCTGCACGTCTAGCTTGGCCTCCGCCCGCACCAGCAGCTGTCAAGAACAACACGTCAACAAACAGCCAGAAACGGTGAAACAACTTTCATTTGACGCAACAATGCAAATGCCTCAGTGCTGATCTTTAAGTTCTCTGCTCAGTGCCTCAGTGTTGTACTCCCCAATTATGAAGTGCATTTTTTCTTGAGTCCACAAGATGGCAACGTGGCAATCTCAATCCAATACTACGCCAAATGACTAACCAAGACACCGCCTCAGAGAACATTATCCCTACACAGCATCAATCTGAGGCAGGACCACATCCAACGGTAGGACATCCACCCGTGTAAATAAAATATGGGGCTGCACAGGGGCTGTTCTACTCCCTTCTGTGTTTAGTCCACAATGAGAAACTGAAAAAAAATCTTCAGTTTGTGTTGGAAATGAGGAGAAAAAAAACGGGTAGAAGCACAAGAAAAAGAGGAGGGTCCACTAACCCGGACTATCTGAGTGTGTTGACGCTCCACTGCCAGGTGTAACGCCGTCTGCTGGTTGACGTTCTGGATGTCTAAGTTGGCACTGCCCTTGAAGGGGGGGGAGGACAGCACAACACACAATAAACATGTGAGCATTTGTGCATACATTAACAACCAACCATAATGAATCACACATATGTACACGTGAATATGACAGGCAAGTGATACATGTGACGAACAGGACCAAAAGAAAAATAATTCAGTTGAAAAGTAAAATAATTGTTCAGCACATGAAAGATTGTAACAACCAGTCTGGCTTTCTGTGCCACGGCAGAACCTTCCTGCTTTCCTTCAACCCTGCCGACCAACAAAGTGTCACCTAGGGGGCTGGAAAAAAACGCATCCTACAATAACGCTGCATGTGATTGTCATTTCCAATTGCGAACACCTCAGCTGAGGAGATGTGGAGGGAAGATAAGCATTGTGATCAGGCGGTGTGTGAAATCCCCAAGTAATAAGGCTGGCTGACTGGCTGGCAGGGAATCTGCAGTGCACCTTGTAGTGTGGTGCAATAACTGAATAGAAAGCTGAGCCATCACTGCAAACCAGCCCATTGCAGAGACTTGGGAGGAAAAAGGCCGTCCCCGCTGAAAGGTATAGCTGGCGCAGCGAGCGTTCATGCGTTGGAATGTTGCAGCAACATCGCTGCCTTGCACCATATCCAAATTAACCCAGTTTCCCACTCGGTCAGGTGCCTTTTGCTGTAAACTCCTGTATGTGGTAATCCTGAGAGAGTTAAACCTGCAATCTCAGAAGGGAAAAAGAGCACGAACCTATGATTGCAAGAGGAGGAGGATGTGAGGGCCCAACAGCACTAAAGAATACCCCTGGAGGCTCTGTGAACCGTATGGATTCAATAAAAAAAAAAGGCACTTATAGCAGCTTCAACTGGTCTACAGCTTGCTGGCTGCAGGGAGTGCAGTGGAAGCTGCTCTTAATGGTCTGTAGGCGGGGAGAGCCAGAAGTTCAGGCTGAGCTGATGCAGCTGTGCTTTGGGCTCATTATTGTAAACGAAAGGGGCCTCTCATGGAAGATGAATAACTGCATTTGTTGTCAGTGTTAAGCATGCATGAAAAAAATAATCTGTTATTTATATGCATGCGAGTGCTTGTGCGTCGTTACCTGGTGCACCAACAGCTCGGCCACCTCGACATGGTTGTTGAGGGCTGCCAGATGCAGAGCGGTGTAGCCGTCGTCCTTCTTCTCGTCTACGATCCAAGGCCTCGGCAGTTTAGACAGCAGCACGCGCATGGCACTGCACAGAGGACACACACGGAGACAAAAGTGAGTGTTTGAACGGCCTGAGCTGGGAAGCATGCCGGAAAAAAAAAAAAAGCCCAAGAAGATACATAAAGTATAGTCGAAATGTTATAATGTAAACCGCTAAAACGAATCGATCCATGACTGTATCGTAGCTGGGGACCAGACACAAGCTGCTGTAAGCAAACACATCGCAGCGTCTGTACTGCTGATACACAGCATATTCCAACACTTTTTCTTTTTTTTCCTTTTACAGCAGAGCATATCCCATTTTCACACATAGGGACAAGAATACTAAATCAACTTAGGGAGGAGTTGCTTTCCCAAGCAGAGTGTTATTTACATCAAGCTTTGAGTGCCACAAGAGCGCTGTGTGTTATGTTAGAGTACCTGTCCCGCTATCATCTCTTCAGTGAAAAAAGGGAAGCCACTTTTCCCTTGATGATATATGCAAACGCAAGCCTATCACTGGGAGGCAAACTGGTAATTATACATTCACTCAGGTCTCCTCCTGGGGAACAAACAGACTGGGTGGGAATGGGGGAAAATCCATCGTTTGAGCGGCGCTGCTTTAACAGAAGTAGCCCGGTGTGGTGGAGAGAGCCCGTCAGTGCTGAGCCACTGAAGGTCATTTAGAGGATGTGTGCAAAGAGAAGCGAGCAAGAGGAGGACTGAGAGGGAGTCACAGTGGGGGGAGAGAGGGAGTCACAGTGGGGAGAGAGAGGGAGTCACAGTGGGGAGAGAGGGAGGCCGACTGTCACTTCCTTCTTGTCATTGAAAAAAAGAGACGTCTGTTTTACTAGTAATAGGAAGCCACACGCGTTTCCATATCTTATTGGATCACAAAAAGGCAGCAGTGACACATTTGGAAAATAAACAAATACATAAAAACCTCCATGAGGTTCGACTTAAGCTGTAATAATGTTATTAGAAATAAATAAGAGGAAATTGAGCACCCTTCTTCCTTCTAGCTTTAGTTTAGTGTTTGAACTATTATCTATTCACCCCCCAACCTCTACCTCTCTTCCTCCTCTTCCTGCTTTAGCCCCTAGGCAAACATCCAGGCATATGGCACATGAGAAAAATGAAATGAGACGCAGCCGTAATCTAGTGAATGACCAGTTCATCAATCGGGGGATGTGTGATGGGGAAACAAAGGCTGCCAACACAGCTCTTCAACTATTGCAAATGCTGTGGAATATAAAACAAGGCGGCACTTAAAAGCCATAGCCCTGAACTGCTCTTGTGTCTTGTCTGTAGCAAGGTACACAATGTACCTTCAATGAGCATTAAAGCCACAAAACGCTGGAGGGAACACTTCCAACCTTGATTAACCCTGAATAATCACGCAGGGCATATCTTTGAACTGCGACAAAAGGAGGCACTTTGATATGGCTGAACGGCCCCCTATGCGAGCACCGGAGTGTTTACATACAGCGAGGTAAAGGGAGGAAATGGGCTCGAGCACAGAGCAAGAAGGCCACAGCCCGCACAATCAATGAAAAAGCCGTTTACTATTAAGGAGAAAAGAAAGAAATGCTGGCAGGCTTTAAGGCTGAAGGTAATCAGGATGGCTGGTTCCCTGCGGGTTTTTTTGCTAAACCTACATCTTGTCTACCCTCCTTGTGGAGTAATGAAATAGAGCATCATCAGCACACCCTCTTGAGGAAAGCAGAGGAAGAGGGGCCGAGAGGGGGGTGGCAGGCAGTCAGCACCTCTGTACGGACAGAGATCTGGGGCTGCTGTACTGCTGCAGTGATGAACAGCGCAGCACACTGATCCCAGGCTCTCTCTCTCTCTCTCTCTCTCTCTCTCATTGCACAGAGGCTTACGCACACACACACACACACACACACACGCACACACACACACACACACACACACACACACACACACACACACACACCTGCATTGCTTGCAGCCATCTTCAACCACTTAATGCAGAGAAGTGCCGCTTAAATGAGGTAGCAACCGCACCCACTCTCTGCCTAATCTCACATTCATAATGTGTTGCCTTTGTTACGAAGAATTATTTGCTTGCATACTGTAGATTCACCATCTCGGGGGGGACTTCTGAGTAATTTCATCTGTGGCGCTCCCACTGGGCACGAGTTGAGAGTTAAACAAGCAAATTATTCAAGGTAAGACCTTGCCACATCACATTCTCGCCTGAAGCTGGAACATAAAACTCAATCCCAGTGGTTAAACAGCACTCTTTTAGCTTTTTTTCCAAGTAAGACTTTTTTTTTTTTTTTTTACTACAACAGTTTCCATCAGAATCAAGGGCAATCGTCCCACATAAAGCCTTTGTTCTTTTTGTGCCCACTTTCTTCCTTCTATTGGTGCAATGTATAACATTTGTAAGTTCTGGATTGGCTGGAAATATCTCCTATATGTCGAACAACCAGCCAATAAATGCACACCTGCAACACCATACGGGCAGACCAGCGCCTCCTAGTGTCAGAAGCAGGCACTGGAGTGCTGGGCAGGTGTTTGCTGGTGTCGGCAGCCCCTCCAATAGAAGTCTAGATTGACAGGCTCCCTGCCACGCTGGGCAAAATAGGCGGACATTAATATTAATGCCCCATACTGGCACTGCTGCATTGCAGTTAAGCTATTTGCTGTAAAGGTAGAAAAAAAATAGAGAGTGAATTAAGAACAATAAATAAATCCTGGTTGTTGTTTTTATCTCTTTGGTAAGCGATGTTAGCAGTGGCCGAGTGTGGTGTGAGAGAACGTGTGAGCCGGCCCTTGAGGTTGGTTGTAAAGTGGGAGTCAGGGAAAAAAAAAAAAAAAAAAAAAAAAAGAGAGTGAGTCTAGTCAGATCAGGCTGCAGACCTTTTACTGAGCAGAAGAAGCCGACTTGACCTGGGAGTTAACATTTAGACAACTCAGGTTATCTGCTAAGAGAAGCTACTTAGAGTGAAGTGAGGATCACCTTATTGCATCTGAACTTTAAAACCAACGCGACGGTCCGTGTGAACGCTGGAGGACGTGCAGCTGAGAAAAAGGGAACGGTAGAGGAGAGACGTGATGGAACTGGGTCACCCTGTGAGAGATCTCAAGAGTCCCTCAGGAGAGCCACACCGGGGCCTGTTGTCTCGGGCTGCAATTTGTCTTTGACCGGGACGCTCTCCGACACTCTCGGCTCTGTGTGTGTTGGCGTTTGTCATTGTACGCAAGATGGCGGAAGTGTGTGTGTGCGTGCGATGTGTGGGAGCGTAGGGGTCGACAGGTCCCTTCTGCTGCCCTCGCCTGGCTGACAGCCATCTGTGTGGTGGTCAGCGGCCGTTATTGCAACAGGAAGTGAGAGTCGGGGCACAATAACTTGGGTAGGACGGGGAAAAGCGGGAACAGTCAACAACATCCAGCCCGAGATTAATGGCCGCGCACAAACATATGGTTACTCTGATGTAGGAGACGTGTTTGGCATACCGCCGTCCATTAACTGAGGCTTCGAGCTCAACAAAAGAGATTCAGCATCGGAAATTAGCCGACAAAAGGTGCCACCTGCCTTGGGAAAGTGAATCGCTTTATAAAACCGAAAGTGATCAGTGGTTATATGGTCAAACATACTGATCTAATTTATCCACGCTGCCTTCAAGAACCTTAGCTGGTCACAATGTTCCATGAGGTTTGGCTATATATTCCTCATTGGAACAGCCTTTGGAGCTGAGACGACTTCAGAGGATACACGAGGTGTCAGCTCATCGGGGACGGGATCAATACTTTCAGGTCCTTTGAAATAGTGAACCCTGTTCCCAACAAATCATTCACAAACGCAACACACCAACTCTAAATGGAACCCTCCTCTTCCCTCTCTGGGCAGGGAGTCACTCTTCATCATGTGTGAAAGGTTTGGAAGGCACAGAGTCCTTAAGTCAGAGGCAGCTGGGAGGGTTAGAGACATGAAACTGATCTTAAAAGACGCTGTTTTGAATGCGAATGTTGGCTTACATATTGCTTGATGATGAAGGCACAACTTCCACATGAAAAGGGGAAACTTAACTCTCCATTCCACCGCTGTCTCTAAATAACGCAACAGATATTTGACAAGACAAATAATTTAGGAAGCCTATAATCCCAAAACAAATATAACTGGTTGATTTTTCAGATCCATAAAGCTCATCCTGGCAGTCTAGCCCTAGAAGCAATTAGCTACCAGTTCACCTTGTCATGGCCGCCACACAGCTACTCTGGACGGAGTAAACAAACACAGATAGCGTCCGGGCCAGCAGTGCAGCAGAGAGCTGAGGACAAGAACCTAGCTGGCTCCACGCTCAATAAAAAAAAAAAAAAAAGGCTTTCATTACCATGCCGTGAAGAGAATAATTTTCCCTACAATGTGACCTTCCTCTGCCTGCCTGTACCTGAGGCCCCTGAGTGAGCATGCTTTTATTAAGGACTATTTGCATAAACCGGGAAAAGGGGGAAGACGGGCAAGAGGTGCATTTCTATGATGTTTTGGTTATCACTCTGGCTATTCGCCTGCGCCTTGAAGGTTGTTTAGTAGACACCAGGTGCATTTCCAAACATCTCAGGTACAGTTGTCTGTCCATTTGGGGAAGTATGTGGGGGGGAGGGGGGCCTATAAAGGCTGAGATTTAATCAGGCATAATCACCTGGTATTATGGGCGTCCTGATTCATAGCAATTTATGAAGAAGGGGGCAGCAAGACAGTCAGAGAAGCCCAATGGCGCGTTAATGTCCCATTGGTTCCAGATGACCCAATTATTCTCCCGTGCTGCTCTTCCTTTGCACTTTATTCTCCTCAGCACCTTGAAAAAGCCTCATTCTCATTTCAGCACTGGCCTTTAATAGTCATAATATACGTCCTTTTACCCCAAAAAAGCAAAAACCCGACAAAAAAGGATAAAGCGAGGACATGCAGATTATATTAGAATAAAGAGACGCCTAAATCACGCACACTATATCGCTGAATAGCGTTATTACCTATAAAACAACCACGTAATTACTGAGCATCACTTTTCGCAC